AGTCACAGCCTTTGCACACCTCTCTACCCAAAATGTGAAGCAAGCACTGGAAAGCCCCATGGAAAGCTGTGATGAAAACGAAGCTGTGAAGCTCTTTTGTGGGGGTTAACCTTCTGTCTCCTCAACCTGAACAGTTTTTACCACAGCTCCTCATCTGAGGCTGAGCAGAGTTGCACTAGCTCCCTGGTACGGATGCTTGCATGTGGAAATATCAGCAGCATACGACACAAAACAGCACTGGGCAATGCTGATCAACCTGAGAGATACAACGAGATGTCACGAAAATGATACTGTGTGGCATCTCCTTCCAGGAAAAGGAATTATTCACCTGGGTTCAATGAGCCAGATAATGACCAGAGATTACAACTTCCCGAACATACTTGTCCTTACCTGACTAAATACCAGGTGTTTGAGCTTTGGGGTGGTTACCTGTGTTAAATTGTGCTGCTGCAGCGATGCTACCTCATAGGGATCCACGTAGATTCCTGGTGGAAGCCGAGTTCTAGCTGCCACCGTGCATCCTCTTGCATCCTCTCCCACTACACCAAGTTCCACCTTCACCAACAGGTCCCTTCAAACAAACAACAGAAGCAAAAGGTTTACACCTGCACTTCAAAAGATGGCACAACCGCCCCCCAGAGTCAGACTCTCCAACACACAGAGAGGAGACACAGCTCTCACATCCTATAAAACAGTTCCCTGATGAGCCACGCAGTCCTTCTCCAGTGAGGAAGATGCAGTTCACCCTGACTCCACATCCACGACCAAACTGAAGTTTCACTTCTTTGTTAACCTCTCAGAATGACCAACGGTCTCCTAGATCTTCATCTTCGAAAAGGGCCACCTGTTCTTCCTCTACTATAGCTGGAATTGTTAACTACTTGATCGTGCTAATATATCCCTGGGGCCTAGCCACGGCTATGGATCACAGCTCAGTGAGCTGATACAGCTGGGAATTAGGAGAGAAACTTCTTCACATGTAAAATTACCCGGCATGTTATTCTGCTAGGGTAAGAACTCACCTGTGAAACCCCTCTTTCAGAAGCTCCTGCGTGACAGTGACATCCTGACAAGTGGCCTGCACGTCTAAGATAGCACACAACAAATGAGGCACAGTGTTTACAGAACAGCACACGAAATTACCACACAGGTAGACAACCTCAACAAGCAAATTCATATAATCTACAAACATATTACCTGCAAAACCTCGCACAGCAAAAGGAAAATGGTATTTCAATTTAGTACAACCAACGGCCATGTTGTCAGTGGAACACCAAGCTTCAGCTACCACGAAGGCTAAAATATCTCTTTTTTTCCAGTATAGCAACTTTCAACAGTGTGCTTTTGTTTTTACTCAGGAGTCTGTAATAATCAAGGCCAGGCTGGACAGGGCTTGGAGCAACCTGGTCTCATGGGAGGTGTCCCCGCCCATGGCAGGGGGTTGGAACTGGATGATCTTCAAGGTCCCTTCCAACCTAAACCATTCTATGATTCTATAAATCCCCCCCTTTTTCTCACTGCACCCGCTCTTGCAAGTGTGATTCCTTATCTACTTTTACATCCATCCTTGTAAGATCCAGATTTTAACAATTAACTTTGTGTTACAGCCATTCTTTACTTTTTCCTCTAGGTTTCCGTAGGATTGCACTGCTAGAAGTGAAACTCCAATCGCCTTACATACAACACATCAGCTTGAGTGGAGACCAAAAACAAGGCGATGTTGGCTGAATAAGAAATTTTGTAGGAGGTAATTGCAGCTGGTTTTCAGTTACTTAACACGGAAAACTGCTTGTTTCTGCTATTAATTTCAATAGACTGTTGCACTTGGAAGGGGACCTATAACGATCACCCAATCCAACTGCCTGACCACTCCAGGGCTGACCAGAATTTAAAGCATATTATTATTTTATTAAGGGCATTGTCCAAACGCCCCTTAAGCCCTGACAGGCCCGGGGAATCGCCCGCCCCTCTGGGAAGCCTATTCCAGCGCCTCACCGCCCCTCTCGGTAAAGAAAC